AAGGCAGACACTTAACGAATGAGCCACCCAGGCGCCCCTAGGCTTATTTGTTTTGAACATTTCTCTGTACAGTGTGTTTCTCATTTACCCATGAGTTCATTAGGGACAGAAATTGGGGAAGCAGATCTATAGATTCATGTAGAAAGTGCTAAACCTGGAGCCAGAATTCACAGGTATGAGCCAGTGGTGTGCTGAGAAATGTTGCACTATCAGCTTTCAAGACAAAACACACAGGTCTGCTCTGTAGCCTTTGTCATTTTCTGCAATGTAAATACTCCCACCATGGCCCACTTCAAGCTACCAAAATGAAGCCAAGTAGTTCATAACATTCCAGAATGTGGTGGGATAGGATGGTTTTGAAGGTAAGGTGAGTTCCTGCTGGACTGGAATGTTGAAAGTAACTTGTGAACACCTGCCCCCCCCGGCCCAGGACGCTATGAATCTGTGCCATGAACCTGAGCACCTGTTGCCTGGAAAGCTGCAGTGCAAACCATTTCCTCCTTTTCACCAAGGACTTCTCCTCTCATATAGGCCCTCCAACTACACAAGATGGGAAATGCTTAACAGCCACCAAAGTCCACACCCTTGATCTCTCGGTTGGGAGCTACAGCCAGTGGAAGGCCTTACGGAATACTAATGGTCTGGTCCCTGCCTGTTCAGAGCCAGAGCAACGTGACTCTGTGAGAACTGCCGTAACATAAGGTGTACATATCCACATGCTTGGCGGAAGAACCCAGCTGATGGCCTAGTTGGCAAGGTAAGGGTAAGCACACCTACTCACCGCTGGCTGAAGGGCTGGCAGTGGCGTCTCAAACTGAGGCTGGATGAGCTGGAGAGGTTCATGTTTCACATTTAGCTGTTCGTGGGCCCTGTGTTAATAAGAAGACACAAAAGCAAGGATCAACATGAGACACTGTGGCAAAGCGCCATCTAACTGACCACTCTGTGCTCTTCTCCATCAAATCAGGTGGTTCAACACTTTTGTAGAAAAACACACAAAATGCATTGTTATAGGTAATATAATGATCCTTTTGTGAATCTTCTCTACTGTATCATATGGCATTAACTATATTGAGAACTGAAAGGGAAAGTTCTTTCAAGTTTCATATCAGGATTCTCCTAAACAGGCTTTTTATTTTTACCCAGTGGACAGTGTGGATCTTGTAACTCACTCTGTTTCCTTGTTTTTACAACCAAGAGACAGGAGTCAAATCTAAAGTCGGCTTCTGGCAACTGAACAGATCTGTACAGTGTACACTTCTTTCTTTCTTTCTTTTTAATTATTTATTTTTAGTAATCTCAACACGCAACATGGGGCTGAAGCTCACGACCCCGAGATCAAGAGTCACATGCTCTTCCGACCGAGCTGTCCCTGTAATATACACTCCTGTGTGCTCATTCACTCAGCAAATATTTACTGAATATGTACCAGACAGTTTTATACATCAGGAGAACAGCAATGGTGAAAACAAGAGACCAAGGCAGCCTCCTGAACTTACATTCTACATGAGGAGAGCCACACAAGAAACAAAACCTAAGATGCCAGGTATCAATATGTATTGAGAAGAAAAACAAACCAGGAGAGATGGACAGAGACAGGGAGGAGGCATGGGGTACAGCCTGTCAGAGAAGCCCTGAGTGAAAGGGAGGGAGAAGTCATGTACTTACTTTCACAAGTATCCCAGGGAGAGGCAAGAGCAAGGAGACCAGGAATAAGGGTGCGAGGGGTTTTCACAGGACCTTGGGGCAGCCAGCATGGCCACAGCAGGGGGACAGTGCTAGTGAGGAGTTCAGAGTCAAGTGCTGATCTTACCCCTGTGTTTCTTTTTGATTGTGGCTTCCCCTCTGCCTCCATTCTCTCAAACTTTGCTTTTATGCTTTTGTACTGTACATAATTTTGTAAGTGGGCTGAACTCCTCTGGGAATGAGGCATATTAAAATATACTCACCTAATTTAAACTATATACACATCTGTGACCTTTTAAAATTAAGCTGACCAAGCAAATACCAAAGGGTGTAGACAAAGTTCATGCCTGCCTCTGTGGATGGGTGATTTGGGAAAGGAAAAAGGTCTGTGACTGAAGAAAGGCGCTTAGCTGAGCTTATTTCCATCACCTCCTCACTATTCCCAGGTGCCTGGGGAGAAGCTTTCCTGGCAATGCAGAAGATCCCTATGGAGAGAACAGAGCACCTGTTGCATGTCACATATGCCTGACCCTGTGGTAGGCACTTAAACTTATTTCACTTAATGCTCAAAACAACCCTGGACTGGGGGTATAATCTTTTACGAAAAGGAAGCAGAGGTATAGAGATGAAATAGCTTCCCAGGGTCACATGGTTAAGAAGGAACAAAGACAAGATTAGAACTCTGAGCTGGCCAATCCCTGCCAACCAGAGGCCCCAAGACTCAGTCTATACTGAAGGCAGAATGTCGTTAAGGGCAGAATCTAAGCTAAAGGTCCCACCACTGGCACACAAAGAATCCTGCTGCCAAGCCCTGGCCTCTGCCATCCCACCCATGATTTTCTGCTTTCTGTCCCTACATGCAGCCGGCTATACTGAAGCCCTGTGGGAACAATAAAACAAGTCCCATTGCCTCAACCCTTTCTCGCTCAGCTCACCGCCTACCCAAATCTTCCTCCACCTATTAGCCAAGGGCAAGCGCATTCTTGATGGGGGTGGGGGATGGGTGGAGAAACTAATCTTAAAACCAAGAAAACCTAATTCAGAAAGCTATTTCCAGAACACTCTGGCCTGACCTGTGGCACTGCGTTTTTATCACTCTGTGTCTCAGTCCCCAACCCATCAGCCCGTGAACTCAGAAGGCAGGGACTCCACAGTCTCTTCCTCACCCCCACAGACATTGATAAATAGCAGATGGACGAATGAAGTTACTTCAGAGCAACATTCTACAGACTACATAAATATTTAAAGACTAATCGAATTTTTACCCAGAAAAAAAGACACTGAATTCAAAAGATGTTACTAGCAAATATGAGAATACCTAGGAGCACCATATGGAAACTGGCCTGTAACTACTGTCCTTTGCTATGGTATGAACGATAAATACAATTAAAAGAGACGTCCAAGCTCCAAAATATCTACAATACTTGACTCTGCTGGCACTAAAATAACAGATGGTTCCAGTCAAGCCTGCATTCAATGCCAAAGCACAGTCACAGTGGCCTGATCTAATAAACCACATCAGGAGAGAAGCAGACCAAACTAAAGGCAGAAGCTAGATGGACTGTAACTGGCTGAGGAGCAGCCCCAGGTGCCTTTTGTTATTCTGAGAACAGCGCAAACGGCAGAGGAGGAGCCATGGGCCCACCTCCAGACCACCCCCGCTTCCCTGTTCTTTTGCCTCCCTTGGCTTCCTGGGACTCCGCTGAGGCTCATGCTCCCTTGCCCCTCCAGCTGCTTTTCCCCAGCTTGTCAAAGGCCCTCCTCTTCTGCCTTGAAAGCCAGGGCAGCTGTGAAGCCCTGTCTCTAGCCCAATCCCCACTCCAGGGCTGTTCTGAGGGTCCCCAGCCCCTCCCCCACTTCTCTACTCACCTTATCTAGGCCTCTTCATCATCTACACTGGTGGGTCGGCCTACACTCTTCACTGGGCAACCTCTCAGCCCCATCAGATGGAGGCAGAGCAGAACTCATTTCTCTCTCCTCTCCCCACAGCATGAGCACTAGTCGGCAGCACCGCCCAGACCCTCAAGGGAGAAACCCCCGTCCCTGACCTCGCCATCATAGCCTTCCATGCACGGCCCGTGGCTCCTGATTCTTTCTTACCAAACACCACTTGAAACCACAGGAACTGCTCCCACCAGTCCTGCCAGTCAACCCTCCAGTCTGCTGTTAACAGTCTCCTAGCTGGTTTCTTCACTTCTACTTTTTCTGTTTTCCAATTAATTATACAAACTGCTGCAAGGCATCGTTTTGTCTGGTTTCAGAAAACACAGATTCAATCAAGTTCCTCTCCTAGAGGTCTTTACTAGCATCCCATTCACAAATCTGGCCTTTGCCCTGAGCCTCAGGCTGTTTGCCTTGGCTTCTTATTTCGGTAATGGGCAGGGTGTCTCCTCAAGTGCAGGCTGGAGAACACGGAACAGATTGTTGCAGGGCACTTCAGAGGACCAAGTTTTCAACTATTAAGTTGGCCTTGTTCGAAGTCAAGGCTACATGCAGTTCAAAGGGCAATTAGGAATAAACTTCCTTACCTGGACACGCGTGCACGTGTGAACATGCGGGCTTTGCCCATAGAAGCTACATCGTTGCCCAACTGTCTCTCTGAACATCCCTGCCAGCTCCTGAAGCCTCTTTACCCCTGACGGTGGAGCACCCAGCATCGTGCCAAGCAGACACAAGGCCCCCCAAAAATGTTTGTTGAAATAACCAATGCCTAGCTACAAGGGCCCCCCTTTCATAAGTCTTCCCTGCTCACTGCAGTGAGTCAAATTCTCCCGCTTCATTATGCCCATGGCCTCCAGGTTTATATTTCACATTTGACATTAATACAATAACTTCGCCTCACAGTCTCTGTCTGTCTCCTCCATAAAACCATTAACCTTGGACATAGTGCCTGGCACAGGAGGAGCTCAGTCAGTATTTGGGGAACTTGAACCTAAAGACAGCAGTAGGAAGTCAGACACTCAGCCTTTGGTTTATTCAGATGTAGACCCCATGTCAGGCCAAAGATGCTGAAGATGTTGGCCTCGGTCCCTGTCCTGTCATTAGGAATGGACAACAATGACGAGCAGGCAACAGGGCAGGCAATGGAACAGGGGAAAGCCTTGGTCTGAAAGGCATTCAGGCTCCCACCTTGGGAGAAGACCTGACCCTCCCTAAACCAGTTTCCTCAACTGGAAATCTGGCAAGTGATTCAGAGGACAAATGAAGTACGGTGTGGAAGTAACAATGTGGGGTGCCTGCAGGGCACCTCGCCTACCCTACTCAATTTACTGGGGGTTCCTGGGGTATGGGACTCTCCATGCTAAAACCAGAAGTCCCAGGCAAACCAGAACACGTTGGTCACCCTAAATGCCTGATATGGAGCCTAGAACACAACAGGCTACCGCAGTTTCCTCTCCATCTACCCCCACCCCAATTTTCCCAACTGTCTTTGTTGGCCTCATCACAGACCTGAGAACATGTTTTGCACACCACATAGGCCATGACCCTAACTCCTGTCCCCAGGCTCAGGTTTTCAAACCAAACGCTCAGGTTTTCAAACCAAACACTCAGAATGGAGTGCAGGGCAGCTCCGAGAGCTACAGGTACTGACTTGATGACCTTGGGGAGGGAGGTGGTATCCAGCTGGTAAATGGACAGGTCGAAGAGGGTGGTAAAGTCTCTTGGGTTCTCATCGCCTTCCTGGAGACACACTCGAAGCCTCTCTGACAGGGTGGCTGTGTCGGGCAGCATCATGTAGTCGGAAATCTGAAAGCCACAAGAGGGTTCACACAGCACAGCGGGAGTAAGAATTTCGCCTAAGTCCGCAGTATTTCTACTCTCTTACCAAGAGATTTCACTATTCCTGGTCACTAACAACTAAACCTTAAATAAACCACTTCATGTGGAAAGAGGAACAAAAGTCACTTGGCTAAACCCCAATGCTGGCTAAATCCAACTCTGTAATTCCTCACGCGGTATTGAACACAGGTGGAGAAACAAGCACACTGACTGGCCTCCTTTTAGTTTCATGATCACTGATCTTGAGTGGTCAGCAATCAACTGTATTGCTAATTTTTAAAACTAGGTGGTGGTGAATACAGTGTCTATAGTACCATTTGTGTAAAACAAGGGGAAAGGAGATACACGCACATATTTACTTGTATGTGTATAAAATATCTCTGGAAGAACATACAAGAAACAGCTAAGACTGCTGTCACTGGGGAGGGGAACAAAGTGGTTGGACAAAGACAGGGGGGAAACTGTTCATTGTGTATGCTTTTGAATTCCAAACTGTGAATCTATTACCTACTCAAAAAGTACATTTAACTTTAAATAAATGCATGCTGGCAACAAGAAGTTTATTCCTAATTGCCCTCTGAGGTCCCCACAACAATGTGTTCTATATTCTCCAGGGCCAGCACGGGAGGAGACATGCCTGAGCATTACAGAAATAAACCTAGACAAACAGGCTCACTTTTTCTATATACCAAGAGTCAAAAAACTCCTCTAATCTTCAAACTTTTTTTTTTTAGATAAGGAACAGGAGAGGAACATAAATAAATAACTGCTTTTCCCTGCAGTCTTTGTGTTAGAGGCTTCACCCCGCTAACAGGATGGGGATTGGAGGTGAGAGCAATCACAGAGGCACTGACCGCACCAGGACACGCACCCAAACGCAGCAGGAGGATGGGTAAGGGCCCAGCAATCCCAAAGGTCCTGAGGCTGGTTCGCATCTCTGCACAGAGACCTGCTACACAATCCTAGTTCAGGAAACTATCAAGGCCTTCGATGTCCAGACAGAAACTAAGAGGACTCCCAAGATCAATGGTTTTCATGACTTCCTGGCAGATTTGGAGGTTAAAACTTGTCATGGAAATCCCCTCAGCTCTTTATTGAGCTACATTTTATTAAGTATCATTTGAAACTGAACTGTTATTTGGGTTTGAAACCCACTCCAACATAAGATTCGATCCGAAATCACAGGAAGTTTGGATATTCAGAATTTCTTACTTTGCAGTGTTACTGGGTCCAGAATTTTACTTTCCAAAGCCTTACAACACAAAGGACATTTGCGCCAGGTCTCCCGTGCAGAACTACATGAAACCACGTGCTTTTAGAGAAAGGCCACGGCGACAACATCTTCCTCTGGTGCCCTATTGACATGGCCCTCCAGAACCAGTCCCATGTCATAGGCAGTGCACAGTGAACAAGAGAGCAGCAGAAAAGGGATGGGCTCCAGAATCAGCCTGACATGGACATTAGTAATGGCTAGCCAGGGATCAGTCTCGGCAGGGACCTTGAAGAACGTACTTACTTCCACTTCCTCAGCTAGGAAACAGGAATGACAGAAACTGAGTAAGAGCAAGGCGGCTGCACAGACCAGGAGCCGATGCGGCTGCTTCCCTGACCCCCCCACACTCTAACTAGGACTGGCAGCTGACCAAGTCACAATCCACTCAAGACTTGGGTCCTGTGAGATCTGAAAAGTGAATTCCTGACTGTCCTCCAATTCTTTTATTAGGGGGGTTTATATCACTTTTTGGGAGGAATTTAAACAAAATATCCATACATTTCATGTTTCCACATGAGGGAATATTTTAGACACAGGGCTCTCCTGTTTCCTAACCCAAGTCAACGCTTGGGAGGCCACACCCTCAGCTGAGGGAGGAAGCAGGCAGTAGGCCACCATTTCTGACCATCTTCTCGCCCACTCCCTGCTACCTACCCACAGCCAGGAAATCATTTTCCTGACACTTCAGAGTTTAAGAAACAGAGAAGCAGGGTGCCTGGGTGGCTCAGTCAGTTGAGCATCTCTTGATTTCAACTCGGGTTGTGGTCTCAAGATCCGCATGGGCTCTGTGCTCAGCAGGGAGTCTGCTTGGGACTCTCTCTGTCCCTCTGCCCCTCCTGCCTGTGCAATCTCTCTCTCTCTCTGAGAATAAATAATAAATAAATGAATAATATGAATAATAAATCTTAGAAAAATAAATAAATGAATGAATAAACAAATAAATCTTAGGAAGGAAGGAAGGAAGAGAAAGAGAGAAAAAAAGAAAAGACAGGAAGGAAGGAGGAAAACAGGAAAGAAACAGAGAAGCAATTATAGAACAAGTAGACTTTGAATCAAGAGAGCTGGGTTTGGTTCCCAACTCTGCAGTTACTTGCTATTTGGGCAAATTGCAATCTTGGAGAATTTCAGTTCCCTCATCTCTAAAATGAGAATAAGACCATCTCCTTCCCAAGGCTGTTGTAAAGATTACATAAGATGATTTATGTGAAGATATATGATACCTGGTGCTTGTATATAATAAATACAAGAGTTTTAAGAAGTCTGACAGCTATATCACTTCCTATACCTTTTAACTTAGTTAGTCAGTATACATCTATTAATTGAGGCCTCACAATCATCCTGTGAGACAGAGAGCACAGGTACTGGCATCCCCACTTCACAGATGAGAAAACCAAGATGAAAAAAGGCCAGAAATAGCCTGCTTGAGGTGCAAGGGCCAGAGTGGAGCGGGACCTGGAAGGCAAGTTACTGGCCCTATTCCCACACTGGTCTCACTCTCCATCGCCTGATAAATAGGATCCTAATGCCTTTAGGAATATTGTCCTAAAGACACCAAAATTATAGTTTAAAACTTAAATTTTGATGACCTTTGTTTATTCACAAAAATTATTTTTATATCCTTCGTATTTCTGAAAGAAGTATTTCTCTACAGATAATGATTTTGAAAGTTTGGCCAGGTAGCATATACATAGAGAGGGATTCCCATCCCAATTAATTCTATAATTTCTTAATTTATTATTTTTTATAATGTGGGCTTCATCACCCCTAAAAGCATCACTTCTTTCCATCTGTCTTACAGACAAAGTAAGAAATACATATTCCTTTGAAACTGTTGGAAGTGGTGCCTTTTTTTTTTTTTTTTTTTGCCTTCGAAGTTTTTTAATGATTCACAGCCCCTACCTCTGGGTCCTCAGCATCTATCTGGTTTAGGTGGATGTCTCCCGTTGTGAGCCACTGGAAAACAACATCCTGTATTTAAAAAATAAACACAGAATTAGACACTTGGTTATTTGAGAAAACCAAGGCAGGACTAGAGAATTAAATCAACCAAGAAAAAATGATAAAGGGAAAGAGACTACATAGCAGTGTCTCAAAAAAGAGTAGCTACCCTTCTCTTGGTGAAATCATATGAAAACGTCAAAGTTTTCCTAACCCTAATGCCACTTTTACCATTGGAAATTGAGCATTTATCTTAGGGCACTTTCACTTTTAACCACAGGCCAAAATTTATTAAAACTTGCTCATGATCCTGAAACAACCCCTGTTTAAATGTGCCAATGACAGTCTGAACTTAAGGGTAGACTATATCTAGATGCCCCTGGAATATGTCTAGAGACTAGAATTTCATGTGGATTCTGCAGAAACAAGATCTTAATCAATCTCTCAATACAATAACAGTGCTTAAGGCTGAAAGAATTTGTTTCATTAATGAAATAGTTCAGTGGGACCTTCTTCCTCTGGCTAGTGAGTCACAGAATCACACCAATGTCCAGCTCTGGCATGCGCCATCTGTCATCCTTCACAAGACATGTTTCCTTCACACTATGCTGACAAGCAACTGCAGTGCCTTCCCCTATTCCCCACATCGACCAGTCCTGTCATAACCCCTCCCGACACCACGTGCCGGCCGGCCCCCTCCTCATTCCCCCCTTCACTACCTTCACTCAGGTCATCGTCCCCTCTTGGCTGGCTGATTCTGCCGACCTCCTAACTGGCTTCACGTTGCCTCCTCCCTCTCACCTTCCACATGCCTGACAGAGGAGTCCTTCTGAAACACATATCTAACTATGCCCAAGGCTGCTGGACATTCTACAAGGGCTCTCCATAGCTTCCTGCAGAAAGTTCAAGTTTCTGGGCTTTATACATGAGGCCCTGGTTGAGCCTGCTCCTCACCTTTCCTCCAAGATTGGCTCCCACCCCAAGCTGGCATGCTTAAAAACGTTCACCACATCCTTCTAAATTTACGTCTCTGTCTCTCACATTCTCTCAATGTACTATAAATGTTTTCAAAGCAGGGACTGTGCCTGACTCAACCGTGTATTCTTAGTGCCAGGCATATAATGGGTTCTGAGGAGCTGGTTTTATTTTTTACTTTTTTATTTTTTTAAAGTTTGTTTGTTTTAGTAATCTCTACAGCCAATGTGGGGCTCGAACTCATGACCCAAGATCAAGAGTCACATGCTCTTTTGACTGAACCAGCCAGGTGTCCCTGAAGATCTGGTTTTAAATGAATAGATGACCTTAGCAGTATTTTTTTTTTTTAATGACATGAAAATCATACACATTATACATTAATGTAATGAAAGAGAAGAACCTACCATGATTTTGATGTTTTCTTCTTTATCCAAATATTGGTCACTGAACATGTGACATGAGCCAAGCACTGCCAGCTTCCCACCTTGGTTCTGTCAATGACAAAGTAGTGTTAGACACTCAGATCCCAAAATGCACCACATGCATCCTAGTCCCCAAAAACTTATTATCAGAATCATGTGAGCAACTATCAGTTATACTAAGTGCCAATTCACATCAGGATTTTAATGACCTAAAAATATCAACTATGATAGCAACTATATTCCCACCTGCTTCTCACTTTAGACACTTCTATATCCTTCTATTTGACTTTAACAAAAAGCAATGTGAATTGGTTCGACAGCATTTTCCCAGTTAACTCATAAATGAAGATTATAATCCTAAAGGAAAAAAGAATCCAAAGTCAATCTGTAAAGATATAAAGATATTTTATGAGTATCAAAAGACAGTGTTCAGGGCTCCTGGGTGGCTCAGTTGGTTAAGCGACTGCCTTCAGCTCAGGTCATGATCCTGGAGTCCCAGGATCGAGTCCCACATTGGGCTCCCCACTCAGTGGGGAGTCTGCTTCTCCCTCTGACCCTCTCCCCTCTCATGCTCTCTCTCACACTCTCTCTCTCAAATAAATAAAATCTTTAAAACAAACAAAAAAAGACAGTGTTTAAGATCCAAACAGAAAATTAATCCATGAGCATGAAAAATTCACAGAAGAGGGCACCTGGGTGGCTCAGTTAGTTGAGTGTCCAACTCTTGATACTGGCTCAGATCATGATCTCAGGGTTGTAAGATCGAGTCCTGTGTCAGGCTCCATGCCCAGCACAGTGCCTGCTTAAGACTGTCTCTCTCCCTCTCTCTCTGCCCCTCCCCCCTTCCCTCTTTCTCTCTCAAAAAAGAAAAAAAAATTCACAAAAGAAATAACTGGTTAGTAAGAAAAAAAAATTTAGAGGCGCCTGGCTGGCTCAGTTGTTAAGCGTCAGCCTTTGGCTCAGGTCGTGATCCCAGGGTCCTGGGATCGTGCCCCGCATCGGGCTCCCTGCTCAGCGGGAAGCTTGCTTCTTCCTCTCCCACTTCCCCTGCTTGTGTTCCCTCTCTTGCTGTGTCTCTGTCAAAGAAAATCTTAAAAAAAAAAAAAAATTAATCAGTAATTAGAAAAATCAAAACAAAGTACTTTTGCCTATCAGATTAATAAATATGAAAAAGATGACTACAAACAGTGTCAGGTTTCAACGAAATAAGTTTTTTCACACATTGCTGAAACTGTCAATGTATGCAACAGAACATATAAAACTCTATGGTCAATTTTACAGTCATAATCACAGAAACTCAGAAATAAATTCAAATGTTCAGCCACAGAACCAGTGGCTAAGAATAAGAGAACCTTCTCCAGTGGTGAAGTCATATGCTACAAAGGGTTTTCAGTAACCTGGAAGAAGGCTTCTGTCATAACATGAGGCGCTTTTTATCTTTTTAACATGAGGTTAAAAAAAAAGTATACCATAAATTGTACAGCCACCCTAGCTTAAAGCCCGGTGAGGCAAATAAATTAAATGAGCTGCAAGAAAGAGTAGGAGAAAATGATCAAAATGTCAGTTTTGTAATGAGACATTCTTTTTTTCCCTTTCATCTCTGTAATTTTCAGTTTTCCTACAATGAGCATAAATTATTCTTGTAATGAGGAAAACAGTACAACGTTAAAACTACAAAATGAATTCAGTTTTTCTAGCAACATCACATACAGGAAATAGGCACAGTTGTGACGGTACTACGTAAGAATTACTCTCAAGCCAGACAAATACACAAATTTCATAAATAAAACAAGATTTGCAAAACAAACTGTGACTTGTACCACATTAAAAGCAAATGGTTCATAGGAAAAATAACGCTATTGCTATAACATAACCATTGAAAGCACATCAGTTACTGAGAACAGAAAGTGAATTTGGTGAAATTCCACAGAAAGAGTGTTGAATGAACTCTGTTGCATTTGAACGTAAGTAAATACAGGAAGAGGAAAGGACTTTCCTTCTTACTACTACCCACAGTTAGGTCTGTATTTTTTCTTTAGTATTCTTTTTTTCCCCTACCTCATTTATTTCAAATGGACTATAGATCTTCCCTTAATCCTTTTATTCTGGACAGAGATTCTACCAGTGTCTTCAGTTTCTTTTTCCAGCTTTTGCCTATAATTTGTTCCAATTAAGTAAGAGTATATCTACTTAAGGACTGATTTGCTCCTTTGATATTAATGAGTTTATCCTAGTAAACTAAAGACCTAGAAAGGATCATGACAAGCTCAAGAAGGCAATGGCCCTGGGCGAGGAGGCAGAGCACATCCCCCAACCCTGTGCTAGCCCACCCTGCTTGGGGTGCCCTGCTTGGGGTTTCCAGGAGTATGGGAGTGGCCCCTCTAAGGCATCACTGGTTTATCTCACAAACTTAAAAGGGACAGGTAAAAACCTCTCAAAGATTGTGTCTATAAGGCAGGACTAAATGCTTGTTAGGAGGGGCCCCTGAGTGGCTCAGTCAGTTGAACGGTTGAGCATCTGACTCTCAATTTCAGTTCAGGTCATGATCTCAGGGTCCTGGGATCCGCCGGCATCAGGCTCCCATGCTCAACAAGGAGTCTACTTGAGAGTCTCTCTCTCTTTCTCCCTGTGCCCCTACCCCCACTTGCATGTGCTCTCTCTCTAAGCAAATACATAAAATGTTTTTTAAAAAATAATAAAAGCGGGTGGGGGGTTGAGTTAGCCTGGTGATGGGTATTAAAGAGGGCACGTACTGAATGGAGCACTGGGTGTTACACGCAAACAATCATGGAACACTACATCAAAAACTAATGATGTAATGTATGGTGATTAACATAACATAATAAAAAATAAAAATAAAAATAAAAAATAA